CACTGACCACAATAGAGCGGTTTTCTTTTTGCTCACAGGGAGTTGTCACGTATCACATGACTCCTAGCCTACTGTCAGAGGGAGCGTGTCTCGATAACAACCATTCGCACTTCATCCTGGTGGACGATGGGACGGTGGGAAAGTATGGAGGAGAAATCCCTTTCCGGGCAAGTCTTCAGAATTGTATAACAACAAAAAAAATTGCAAAAAGTGAGTGTGTTTTTGAAATGTTACCTAGCTGCCATTGTCCTGTATTAGTTTCTCACGTGACATAGTATATACAGGCGAGAGTCACTGATGTGTTATAATCATATGCCCAAATACTCCAAGGGATAAAAAGAACTAGTCGCAGTTTACGTATCAGTAGTTCTCAATCCATGTTTAAAATCTTCTCCAGCCTTAACACCATCGTTTATCCCTAGTTTAATTTTGTTTGTTTCGTTTTTTCTATCGTACCATCAAATTCTTTGTAGTTTTGTAAGGCTAAAAAATTAACTCTAAATATCACGAAGGACGGATTAAATTCAGGTGCAAATGATCTGTGGTAGAACTTCCAACCTTTGCACCGTAGGCCACTGGTTAAATTCTGCGAGGAACTCTTACTCATGTTTTTTCCTTCTCTCGCGCTCTTATGCTTTATCGAGGGAGCTAGAAATGTGTCATATTCTGGCATTAGTTTTGTCTGGGACATGGCTAATACCACTGCTTTTTTTAATGTTTTCAGGTAAATCTCACGGAATCCCGGTGGTTCTTCTCGTTCTCGAGGGAGGACCAAACACAATCCAAACAGTGTTGGAATCTGTCACGAGCAACCCAGCCGTGCCCGTCGTCATTGCCGAGGGCAGCGGACGAGCTGCTGACATCTTAGCGCATGCTCATGGGATTGTCACTTCGAATGACGGGTGCGTGTTAGAGTTCGATTGGTTTACTTTCGTATAGGAAATGTATAGAGTTAAAGTGGTTTGAGAGAAGTTGCGGATGAGGAGTGTAGGTACGGGGGGTTTGGACCCCCCTATCAATCAGACCAAAATTTTGGACACCCCATCAAAATTTCCTAGATCCATCCTTGAAGTGGTGATACCAGCCAGAAATTTAGCAATATTTTTTCAGACTACTGAAGCATTTTGTTGATTTGTTATATGAAACTACAGAAAACTCCATAATTATCTCGCTGAATCACGATCTTAACACATGTAATAGTTCTAAATGGAGTGTTGTTTGTCAGAGAGCACGACGACATATTTGAAGAGTTTTATAACGAGTCCTGCTTGTGGCTGAGGAGGACCTGGTAGCTCGATCTGATATTCCCTTTCGAACAAAGCTAAAATTAACAAACCCAAAATATGAGAAAACACCCTTTATATCTTAAGGTGGACTCAAATGGTGAAATACCACCATTTCTGAGGAAAAAAAACTTATCATCCCTTATTCTCGACAGAACTGATATGGAGGACATGTCTGAAGTGGTTGAACATCAACAACTTCGTATGAAGATCCAGAAAGCCTTCCCAGAGTGCAACGAGGAGAAGTGCACTGCTCTTTATCATGACGTGCTCAAATGCGTGGGAAATAAGAGATATGTAAGTCATAAAGAGTGACAGAGACAAAGCCTTTCGATCTGGGCTTGGTCATTCAAAAGACAGTTTAGCTGCCCTAGGGTTAAAGCTAGTTTTCAATCGTAGTTTTGTAGCTTTGCAAACAGTTTTCAAACATCCATTTTGCTGTCTTTCTTCGTGTCGTGCGGTGTATTAGGTAAAAGACCCATTTTCGCTGTAACTTTCGCGGCTATCGCTTTAAGAAAATGCATGAAAATGTTGAGAAATGAATCCTGGATGGAAGAGTAGCGTAAAGGGGGTAAGTTTCTAAAGAAACTGTGGTGCTGCGTCGTTGGGAGAGTCTAATAAGATAATTTGGTATTATCAACCGAGCTGATAATATTAACTTAACGTAAGGGTTTGGAACGATTGAAATTTAACGGCAATCAAAGACACCTCAAATCCACATTTCATTGGTTCTGCAGATCTATAGGGGTTCCTTAACCTTAGGGATATCACAAGGGAATACAATATTTAGAATATGTGAATCTTTAAAAAATGCGCGTGACCGAAACTCGGTATCTCTATTCCTTTCATTTGTTGCAGATTACAATATTTCGCATGGACGAGGATGGGATTGACATTGACATAGCCATACTTAAGGCTTTACTCAAAGGTTTGTTCAGAGGGAGACCAGGTATCTTAGTTATAAAAATGACATAGGAAGGATGGGAATTGGAGTGAGACCTTCTTGAAGAATCCATTCCCTTTACTTGTCATATTGAAATTTGTGAACAAGGTAAACTAACGTCACTGCGCATTTGCAGAGGCTGGTTCGGCTTTCGGTTGGTGCTTTCAAGCTGTTTGAAACACAAGCAACATTCTTGGTAAAACTTGAAATATAATGAAGTATAGATAATCATCTAAGCTTCGAAAACTCCACCTTAATTCCTTTTAAAAATTTCTTTGAACTTTTCGGGTTTTTTGTAAATTCTGCCTGGTATGGCCCTTTTACCTGTGTACTTGAAGGCTATGTTAACGTAATGCATTTGCAGCTCAACATGCGTCTGCCGCTGACCAGTTGAGCTTGGCCTTAATATGGAACCGGGCCGATATCGCCAGTACTGAGATCTTCAAAGAAGACCAAAAATGGAAGGTATGACTGTTAATAAAGATAACAAAGATGTCTTGAGCACTCGTTCTTATCGGTGTAAAACCTATTATTTATGATACCCTTAAACCTACAGAAAATTCAAACGCTTAGTGTGACTTCAAAAGAAGGGACATCGAGCCTACAGCGAGTGATTAACAAACTTCTTTCGTGTTCTCTCTGCAATTCCGTGGGTTAGAATACCGATAAATGTAAAAAAAATTACGGTGTACATCGCAGTATTTGGCAGAGGGGGATAAAGAGCAGTTTTCGAATTTCGTCTGATTCGCCTAACCAAAGAGTTTGATTTTCACTCTTTCCTTATTCCATTACAAATAAGCGAAAAAAAAGAAAAGCATAAGATGCGAGATACCATTCAATAAAGTATTATGTGCGAAACGAGATTGAAAAATTGAATTTTTGACCAATAGAGTCTCGATCTAGTTCAATGATTCACTTATGCCGGACTGTAAATGACAAAACAGACCATTTATATCCTGCAAACAAATGGACTTCAGTCTATGAAGAAGACTTTTTTTCGGCACTTAAATAGCTCTAAACATTTGACATTTTGTAATGTCATACTTACGATGGGAGGTGGGACACCCTTCCATATTATCACATTGCGTTCACGTGCAAAAACGATGCGCTCTCATCCCCCGAATGGAGGGCATCCTTGACGAGGTCCTGCATCGTTATCCTCAACATTTTTTCTTAACTTTTCTTACACACTGCTAGAGCGAACTTTCCATTATTTTTAGATGAAATCTTTGGAGGATGCAATGATGGATGCCCTAGTCAACAACCGTGTCGAGTTTGTCAAACTTCTCTTGGAGAATGGCGTCAGTATGAGCAGATTCTTGACAACAACTCGGCTGGAGGAATTATACAAGGCGGTAACTAGCAAACTAATTCAACACAGATGGCTTTGAGATGCGAATTGCTGGGGAAGGGGTGGGGGGACTGGGTGCCATTTAGCAATTCCCTTTGCCAAGAAAAACTGATAACCTATGATAAAAACAACTTGGCATACTGTGGAGAATCTCCTCCTCTCCTCATCGACGACCTTTCCAACTTTTTTTTCATCATGCTAGTTTCAGATCTTTCTGTCAACTGACTTCTGTGCTCAAGTCCTCTGATGAAAAGCCTTTTCAGAAATTTCTCTCTCTGATCGTCACTGATTACTAAGACCTGAACTGAGCCTAGGATTTTGTTTTGAACGTTTTTTATTGGCGACGCCTGCCACACTCGTGCTGGCTTAAAACCATCCAAGTACTGAGTGCGTACTCTATACCTCACTTTAACAGGTGCTGCAAAGAAGGATTGTCGACAAAGCATATTTACGTAAAAAGGCCTGTTATTTCTGTACATTCTTTGCTTAATTATTTTCCAGAGATGGAGGTCGTCATCCAATGCTGTGTTGAGACAGCTGATCGGGAATGGAAAGGTGAGGAAAGGTTCTGTAAACTGCAGCAAATGTGTTGTCTTTTCGGCCTCGACTAATTTTTTAAAGGAAACCTTTAATTGGAATTTCCATTTTAACAACAGATTTATGTGTTATAAACCAAAATAATGTTACTTTGACGACTCTCTGCGACGCTCTTTTAAGACCAAGATGTCATCCATGGGCTATAGATCAGAGGTTTGCTTTTGGCATGACTTGGTAACACAGTGGTCAAACGTCTGCGCATATGTAAACGTTGTGACGGGCTTTCAGGGTGTCAAAACCAGGTTGTATTATAAACATCCACACAAGCGAGTAAGTCGCGGTGTAAGTCGCGTGCAAAATTTTAGTGAAGTTAAAAAAAATGGAAAATCATCAAAAAACCCGTAATTGGATAAGCTTTGTGCTCTGGAAGTGTCGAGAGTTCCATATCCCTACAAATTAACCTTTTCAGATTTAGAGTGCTTTTCTGCATATTTGGTTTGACAGCAGTTGATTCTTATGTATCCTTAGAAATTTTGTGCGTGTAATTGGCGCGGGGCTGGCCAAAATAAATCCCTTTGCGCATGCCTTACGTCTGACCACTGTGTTTTATTTGGTATACAAGTTCTATTCAGCAGTTCTTTGAAATAGGCAAAACATGGCTGGGATCAAAGACTAAAAATTTGACAGAATAAACAGTATTTTTTGTAAAATTAAACTTTTCGTTTTAACCTATACTCCTTAGATCGACACTGATCATTTTGACTTGTCCGATGTTGACAATGTTATTCGGCGACTATTAGGAATAGCTTACAAAGGACACAGAGAGAAGAACGCTATAACAAAGGTATTTGTCTACTTCGATTCTATGAGCCATGTTCTTTCTGAAAGAGATACACTTTCATGCTAAAAGTAACTGGGTAAAATGTAGTTATGGAATACTAAAACTTTACTCACATATTTAAAAGGAAGTAACGAGAGATTAGGGTTGGTTTCTCGATCGAAAGTAATCTGGGATCGCTCTGCTTTTGGTTTACTACGGTTTTTGATGGGTCTTACCAGGAAACTAACGTTAACCTCTGCACCATTCGGAATCAAAGGTAAAACCGATCGTCACTTGGTCACCCGCGTATACCCGTGTTTCGGGCTGTATGCGTTTTTTCACGTTGAGTCGTCCTGGTGATATTTTCCTTCGCTCTGATTGGCCACCGTGATAACTTGGATTGACTTTGCAATACTCAGCGAAAGCCGCTCTCTGCAAGTATTCGTTCTACGAAAATATTTACTAGTGATTGTTGCTCTGAATCATGCAATAGAGCTACTTTGAAACTTAAGGAGAGAATGTTTGTAGTCTGGTGTTTTATTGTGGGAATGTGGAAAATGTATCATTCTCTTTGGAAAGGAAACAAAAGTGGTTATATATTAGTGTTAAAGGGGAAAGTATTTTCATCTTGGGTCAGAGCGTGTTTGAAAACTACTTATTGAGCACCTACCCTTCTTCGGGTATTTTCGTCCGAAGTCTCGCTTGTTTGTTCTTATTTCGTATGTTTCAATTCAAACGCTTTATTGCCTTCAAAGGGTCTTGACATTTCTAACCAGATGATGTTTGTCAGAGGACACACAGACAACATAGCTCACGTGAATTATCCTTATAACGAGCTGCTGTTGTGGTCTGTGCTATGCAATATGCGAAAAATGGCGCTCTTCATGTGGGAGTGTGGTGATGAGCATCTGGTGCGGGCGCTGGTGGCGGGAAAAATGTTCAACGGCATGGCCAAGGTTACTGAACGTGATGACGCATACGCTGACATCACTGATGCACTTAATGCGCATGTGGAGTAAGTCTGTCCGCTGATTGGTTTGTAATGATACTATAGTGTAATTTACAATGTTTCCACGAGCGCGCGTTGGATATGAGACGATGAATGGCCAACGAAGCCCGTAGTGCCGAGTTGGCCATAATATCCAACGAGCGCCAATTAGAAACGCCCCAAAATATGGATCAATCTTCCCAACTTTATTTTTTAAGAACAAACGTAATTTTACAATGCACAAAAAACACTTCCTTTTTAACTCGTCTTAATGCGTGCGCATGTTATAGTGGCTCATACCCCATGATTCCTAAGCCAACAAAGTCTTGAGTTAAGTTATCCAATTATCCTTTTTTATTAAATAATGTAGAGTATCATGCCTCACACAGGAAATGTTATTTTCAGAGGAAAGGACAGGCGTGGCTGTACCACTCCTTTTTGGGAGGGGTACAGCCTTTCTCCATAAGGACTGTTAAGGAAAAATGTTGCCCTCCTATGTATATTAATGTCGAAGAGTTTATTCCTATCAATTTATGCTTTCAGAGAATTCAAACGACTGGCACTGGGTTTGCTAGATAAATGTTTTCAAGAAAATGAAGAGCTTACCCAAATGCTCCTGACATATCACCTAGAGAACTGGGGTGGACAAACATGTCTTTCACTTGCTGTCGCCATCGAACACGAAGAATTTCTAGCACACAGTAGTTGCCAGGCTCTTCTCACTGATATATGGACAGGAGCCATGAAGAATACGCACAGGTCTTCTATCAAGGTAAGGAACTTTGGCTATGCCCGTGAAAGTTATCTATAAAAACAGCGCATTGCAGGTTGGTACGATGTCCTCATCCCTGTTCTTTTGTGCCGTCAGACAATGCTTGGAATCCTCATACCTCCGACGATATTTTTGCTGGAGTTCAAAACAAAACAGGAGCTATCGTCCATGCCCGTTACAATGGAAGAACATGAACAAGAGTTAGCTGAGGAGGGAGAATGCGATGAGGTTCAAGACGATGAAGAAAACCTAAGCTACAGAAGAAGCCGAGCAATAACGGACGATGGGAGGGCACTAGAAATGAGGTAATGCCAACTAAGCACTTCTTTTCTTCTGAGTTTGAAACTCCACACCGGCCGTTTTCGGCTTTTATTCCTGATCGTAACATTTAAAGTTAAAGGACGCACTGCAGATATATCTTAACCCACTCATGGCCAGAGAGCATGCGCTGGGCCCAGGTTCTTATGACAGTTGCTATTTATCACAGATTTTTCTTTCACTGTTTCCCAATGGCTTCATTGTTGCTCTGCGTGATATTTTTTCCGCGATCAGTCTTTTGTAAATGTCACCTTTGTGTCTTAAAGCCTGAAAAACGGTTTTTCGTTCGAAGAGTAAGATTGGATCGTTGTAATAGTCGCCGCAGACGCCTACTGATGACCAAAATGCAGATTGGCGCATAATCTTATAATGACTTGATTTCGTAAAAAGTAATGAACGCCCATATTAAAAAGTAGGTGTTTTTGTTTCACTGTTGCGATGAATAATGGATAAAACGTTTTTTCTTAAACTTCTAGTGTGCTCTCTTCGAAGTCACGTGAGTTGCTCTGGGTATCCACGTACCATAAGTGTAGACAAGAGACTCGTGTGGTGAAACTGCGATGGGCGAGGAAGATCTTAGAGTTCTACAAAGCACCTGTTACTAAGTTTTGGTCTAACGCGGTAAGCTGCATCGTGGAGTGGTGATGGGTATAAGTAAAAATTAGGAAACAGAAGGGACAAGCATGCATTTAAAGAGGTTTCGCTCCTTCGCAAGTTCGCCCGCTACCAGTTCGCCTCCATCTCGACGAGTTTTCCTACTCAAATAGAATCAGTCAGTTAACACATAGATCGATTTTAACGATTCTTGTCGCTAAGAAACAAAATTATATATATATATATATATATACGTATGTATATTTTTTGGGCGGTTGAAGGGGGCACAAAGTCAGGGAACTGTTAAAGGAGGAGGCAAACTTGTTAGTTGATGAAGCGTATAGGTCTTTTTCGCAATCGTTGCATGCTAAGTTGTTCGCCATCATGAAACTAACACTAAGGCCTGAATTGGGAGCTTCCCCCTCCGATCCCTTGCCTTTCTTTAATGGAAACAATGACACAGTTAGAACTATGTTTATATTAAAAATTGAGGCAATTCTACTCGGCCGTGATATTGATTATTGCGAAAACGTAATTCACTCACTGACCGAAGAGTGACACAGATGATTGATTTATTGAACGATAACGCTACGTTAGCAGTTTGCAAACTTATGCTCCATTTTAGTCATGGCTAAGGGCCCTTTGACGTACACTTACCAGTAGTCCGATTTTTCTGACAATGAGTTTCGTTCTCTGTACTTTCTTTCCTTTTTTTGCAGTTCGCTTATATGGCGTTCTTGATGCTGTTTAGTTTTGTTATCCTCGTAAAAGCTGACAAAATTCCTTCCATCAGTGAAATGGTGCTTATCATTTTTGTTTGTACACTATGTACGGAAGAAATCAGACAGGTAACTCAAAAACAAGTTGATAAACAAAGATCTAAATATACTGATGACCTGAAGTTGATTCTATAGAATTGTACGTTTTCTCAGAGCTGATCCTTTACGTGGTTAGACAGCAAATTAACTACCTTGACTGTAATTATCGTGAAAGGTTTGATTTTCTTGTATAAAATGCCCATATATCTTTATTGATGTGAATAATAAGTGAAACTAAGGTACAAGATGCAATCGATAACAACATTCGAATATAAACAGTTTATATGCTCATGGTGACAACAAACGGTGAATTCCAGACTGCGGTAAATGTGCCACTTCTTCCATTAACACTGCACCATTTTTGAGCAAACGGCTGAGAGGAAAAGACAAACTTGGATGGTGTTATCTTGATATAACACTTAGTGCTCTTAATTTTATAGCAACTACAAGGGAGGATAACTAATCAGATCTTTCGAGATAAAGGGTATATATGTTGAGTGATTTCATGGTGCTTAATGAAGAAAATGGAAACATCTGAGAAACTTTTTAAGCCTATACTTTCTTCATTTTTGTCAGATACTTCATTCTGAGCCACCAACATTTGGAAGCAAATTAAAAGACTGGGCGTCCAGTAAATGGAACCTCCTTGATGGTTTTGCAGTCGTTTCGTTTTTCATTGGACTTGGGCTCAGGCTTCACCCAACCACACGCAGTGCTGGTCACGTGGTATACAGCCTCGATGTGATGCTATGGATTATTCGCCTATTGGACATATTTTCTGTCAGCAAACACCTCGGACCTTATGTGGTCATGATTGGGAGAATGGTAATACCAAAATATTATTCATAGGTCTTTGTTCAACTTTCCCATTCATTTCGGACGAGAAGGGGATAGCAATACAAATTCTCCAAGAGAGAAGAATTCGCTTTACCCTGAGCGCAATAAAAGCCTTGCATTAATCATTCATCATATTTATCCTTCCTATTTATAGACCGTGGATATGCTGTACTTCCTCTTGATCATGGTGATATTCCTCCTGGCTTATGGAGTCGCCCAACAAGCCATCTTGTACCCAAACGAGACAGCTTCCTGGTCCATGGTGTCTAGAGTGTTCTTCAGACCTTACTTCCAGGTTTATGGGGAGTTGTTTTTTGTGGATGCACCAGATACGAGTAAGAAAATCTGTCTTTAAAAAGAACGATAATAACCGAGTAGTGTAGAGCCGTCAGTTATCCGCACCATACTAATTGGTCAGGACGCTTGATCTTAATTGCTACATTTAAAACCTCCTTCTATTGTTAATAGTTAATTCATAATGAAATGTATTTCTTCAAACGATCGAGTTTTTCTCAAGAAAAGAATCTCAAATTTATCTCCCTGAGGAGATTTCCCTACTTATTCGCATCTGTAATAAAAATTTTTGTCTTTTTGGTTAACACTCGCCCCTCAAAAAGCTAAAATATTTATAACAAAAAGTAACAGCATCCTAGTGTGGCAAGCAATTGATGTATCAAATATTGCAAGAGTTAGACAAGTGTCAATTTCATTTAATGAGGATGATAGTTCGCGGAAACAAGATTTTTGAGAAAGGATGTTAAAGATGAGAGTCACAGTCATCATTAAGCTAATTATTACTTTCTTTAAAATTTCGTTCTAGTAAGCCCGACAGAGACTGTATTTGGCACTCCAAGAAAAGATGAACATGGCGACACGATCGTGGTATTTATCATGGCGTTTTATCTTCTGGTTGCCAATATTCTCCTTCTGAATCTTCTCATCGCCATTTTCAAGTACGTGTTGTGGAATCGATTTCGTAGACATTAATTGTAAACTAAATATGTTTATTTTGCCGCCTAGGGCAAAGACACGTACCATACCACGTGTCTGAAAAAATTGTTTCACATATAAGTTTCTTTCCTGTTCTCGACAGCAACACGTTCTCTAGCGTACAGGCAAACGCAAATCAGATTTGGAAGTTTCAGCGGTATTACTTGGTCATGGAGTATTCGCAGAGACCAGTGTTAGTTCCACCTTTCATCATCTTTAATCACGTGATCCATGCTCTAAGGGGCTTATACCACTGGCTGAAAAACTGTCTGGGACGAGGCAAGAGAAACCAGGAAGAGTCTAGTTACGGACTAAGTATGGCTTCTCTTTGTGAATGAAATAATATTTTAATAAACAAAACAGAGAAAAGTTTAAGTACCCCTGTGACGATTCGAAGCTCAGCCTGTTCTGATTTCTCACAGCTGAGCTACAGGGATATGCTAGGCCGTGTATTCCATAATGTCCTTTATACTGAAGGGTTAGAAAAAGTCGAAAAGTATCCTGTGCGAAGAATGAGAAAGCTGTTTCTCATCCTCCTGTTTTGATCTACCAACAGACCTTCATTTTTATTCTGGTTTTGTTTCAATAAATATTTTCCTATGCTATAACATTAGTGCTAAAATGTTTTTTGTCCAGCCTAACAGAGTTTGTGTTCTCTGTGGCAGAGCTTTTCCTAGAAACCAACGATCTTCAGAAGTTGATGATGTTTGAAGAACGATGTGTGGATAGCTACCTTAGAGAGAAAGATACTTTGCTCCACGCCACTCAGGAAGAGCAAATGAGGGTTATGGGCGACAGGTACATTTTATCACTAGGACTGATAAATAAAAGTAAGTTTCTGATTGTAAGCTTCTTTACTGCTAATAGTAGGACAGACGGATGAAGGGACGGACCGATTGACTGACTGACTGACGGCCAGACTGACTAGCTGATCTGCTTACTGGCTGCTAACTGGCCGACTGTCGTACTGGCGGACTGGTTGATTGACTGATAGACTCTCTGATGACCGGCTGACTGAGTGACAGACTAGTTTAATGACTGACTAACTGAATGATTGAATGGCTGGTTTACTCGCTGAATGGCTGAATGACTGACTCACTGATTACCAGACTGACTAAGTTACTGACTGACGAATTGATTCGCATTCCTGCCGGCTGGTAGGGCTTACCGACTGGCTGACTGACTGACAGACTGACGGCTGGTTGACAAACACACTGTCTGACTGAGTTACTGACTGACTGATTGACGAATTGACTCGCTGTCATCCTGGTTGGATGACTAACTGGCCGGCTGACTGACAGACGGACGGACGGACGGACGGACGGACGGACTGACGACTGACGGACTGACGGACTGACGAACCGACAGAATGACTGACTGGTTGACTGGTCGACCGACTGAATGACTGGTTAATTGACTGACTGTTTGACTCGCTGAATGGCTGAGTGACTGTCTCACTGCCCGCTTGTTTGACTAAGTTACTGCCTGACTGATTTACAACCTGACTCGTTGTCCTACTAGTTGGCTGGCTGACTGACAGATTGGCTAACTGACCAATTGACTGACTAACTGACCGACAGACTGACAGACTGACTGAATGACTGACTAGTTGATTGGTTGACTGACTGTTCGACATGACTGACGGACTGATTGTTTGACTGAACGAATGACGGACTGACTGACTAACTTGACTGGTGGGTTAATTTATTGACTGACTGTCCGATCGGAGACTGCAACCATACTAGCTGTCCGATTTAGCCGTAGTGTAAGCTACAGACAATACAATGTGTCATGAAACACATTTCCCATACAAGGATCTGTCATCAAATTTCAGAATGGAGGCTATTTCGAGTCAACTTCAAGATATGTACAAAGATTCCATTTGTCAGTCTCACAGCGGGAAAAAGTCTACCGACTCCCTAAGTAAACGCCTCAACAAACTGGAAAAAGGGATGAACAGAATTTTAGAGATACTGGCACCAGAACCAGGGGCATTGACAAACGACGAGAATAATCGTAATGCGCGGTCCGGGCGAACTGTATCGTTGTCAGCAGTCGAAATTGCAGGTAAAATGTATTCTGGTCACATGGACAATTTGTCGTACATAAACAACCTAGTTCCCGAGGCCCCTCTCCTTCCCTGTTTGAAGAGAATATAGTGAAGTTAGATAGATGAAGAGGCTCGTAGGGTGACTTTACTTTATACCGTACATTGACCCCATGGGATTCATTACAGGTGTAGGTGGACACAAGCCTCTTTCACAAAGGTTCTCTTATGACGGACCACGCACGAATGGCAAGATTGAGCCGTCCTCCCCTCTGATGAAAGGTAGGTTTCTCTCGGTTATTATAACTTCCCGATTGTGTTGAAAATTTGGTGGGAATGTTGGTGGGTTCTCAATCAGACAGCCCTACATATGTACCTACCCTTAACGCTCAGCCTTTAACAGCTATACGCGTTGGATACATGCAGCAAAAATCCGTTATGAGTTCGCATGCTCCCCATAAAAGGCGTATCCAAAGGAATAAAAGTCTAGAAGTTGCGATGTATTTGCTCCTCGTGGTCCATTCTTATCCACCCAAAAATTGGTTCGATCTGAGAAAAATCAACAAAGGCGTGTATTTACGAACTCAGTGACTTGTTTAAGGACTTGTGATATTCATAAATGAAATTGTTTTGAACTCTCCAATCCCCTGCTTTTTCGCCTCATTGTTACTTGTCAACACGATGAGAACTGTCGCTTCTACTCAAACTTAGAATGTTCATCTGAAATTCGATTCAAACAGAGGGATTTAAATTTACTCGACGACGTCTCTCAACTGCTGCCGCACGTGCAAAGAAAGCTCTTAAACATGAAGCACACGAGAAAGTGACGCACGTGCATTCGAGACATTCGCCATATCCAAGGAGTAACCAACAGCGATATCCTGTGCCGGACTTTCTCGTCGACTGGCAGGTATGTAATTGGCTATGTGATAATTAAGGTAATCAGTTCCTTACCAAGGATAAACCGTGCCTGTACTTGCAAGACATTGTGAGGGTTTTTCTCAGAGTTGTGCGATAAATGTTTGGTACCTGAGCAATCGGAAATATTGTTACTGTATGGTAGTAAAGTTTATTTCGGAGTAGGTGTGAGACTAAAAAATAATTTTCAGTGGGAAAAACCGTCAAAAAAGAAAAACCTATGTGATTTGTTCTTATCAAGGATCGATCTAATAATGCGAAGCAAAAAAGCTATTGTTCAAACAAGAGTTTTGTGAGAAGACGAGCGCGGAAATTCGTGCCATTTTTGATAATTAACGCTGTTTAAAATGGGCCTTTAAGCACTGAAGCGATTTTCCCACGGAAGAAATCTTTTTTAAATATTTCGAAAAAATGAGGTCTTTTCAATTACGTTTACACGTAGACAGATTCATGATTAAGTTGGAAAGAAATCGATTTTATGAACCGAATTGAACTGGACCGCCTTTGGAGAGACCGTGTCTTCACTGTTCAAAATTAAAAGCTACAGAAGAAGAGAGAGATTAGGCTAAAAGATGTGAGATATAACAAGAGGACTTTGGTAGTGTAATACAGCGCTGCATACAAACTATCAGATTGCCAGAAATTCATTTTCCTTGGGTTTGTAAATCACAGTTTGTGGTTCTGATTGCTGAGTATCCAAATACAACTTTGGGTTTCTTGAAAAAGATAGAGGGCGTAGGGAATACTAAGCAGGTTTATCTTGCGGTGAAAAAAACCAATTTAAGATACTTTTGGTCAAGAAGAAGAAAACAATAATGAAAGTAAAATTAAAATGCAACTTTTTTTTTTTTTTTGCTTGTAGGAGTCGTTCCCAGGCTACGATCCGCCAATATATACCGCACAGGAAGTGGAAGCCATGCCAGCCTGGGCCGATCCCGACATACTAGAGTGAGTAAAAAAATCTAGCAGGGGTCACAAGAAAATACAAGAAATTTACCCAGAATTCACGACTCCTCTCTCGTAACTCTTTCTAGCAAGCTTGCGCGGACAAAAAACCAACCAATGAGATCTAGCATCTTTGAATTTTCCATCTCAAGCTGCTTCACTCTTAAATGCCCTCAGAGCAACAAAGAAATAACCACGTGCGATTTACGCTGCGATCTGTCTAATCAATCTAGTTGCTTTTGCGCTCGTTTTCATTTTTCTTCACCTATTGTGGATAATGTTTAATTATTTGTTTGTATTTTTAGCCCAAATGACGCGACTACAGCTATCTTGTTTAACTTTGAGGACCAAGGAATCAACAGAAGAAGTCACACAGGACTGATTGACGTGGTCAATCGATTGCCAAGGTGTCTTTCTTAAGCACTTTTGTTTGTTTTTTTTTGTTTGTTTTTATGTTTTAGAATTAAAACGAATCCGATGATTGCAGACCATCAAACGGCGTAGTTTGCGTGCAGACTCTCCTGATCAGCGATTCAGCACGAGCGTTTCTTCGCTACGGGAAAGAATGAGGCCTGCAAGGGCTGAGAGATCTTCAAGGGGTCTGGCACCGAGTCAGATCCACGGAAAACCTTTTCCCGACTCGCCTCGGAGAAACGCGCGCCTTGCAGCTCTAGTAATGAGGTCCTGCCCGCAAACTACAGATAAGGACAATAGCTCTACTTTCAGATGCGCGTACACCTTACAGACTGGTTTCATAAATGATGAATATTCAGTGTTATTTTTCCTTACTTTTAAGCTATATTTTGTTGAATAGAAATCCGATGGGGAGGACAGGCATCGCAGGACGTGGCTTGTTTGGTCGCTGGGGACCTAACCATGCAGTTCATGTTGTTGTTACAAGGTGGGCCATGTTAAACCTCTGCCGTTCTGCACCAACGTTTTCCGCTTATTTCGCCTTGTTGCGCGTCGTTCTGCCCGCGCTATTGACGGAGTAAATTACTGACGGAACGATTTCTGTTTGAAACAATCATTGCCATTTCCAAAGGACAGGTAAATTTCCAAGTGCTGCACTAAGTTCAGATTAAATTCTAAGTTTCGTTATTCCTCTACCTTCTCCCATTTTCAGATGGAAGATCGGCGAAGATGGTCAAGTCCTACGAAAGCAAGAGAAAAATGTTCTGGAATTCGTGGCAAATAAAAACCTAGACAGCTTGGAATGGGAAATACCCGGGGTATGATTTTCTGAAACTTACAATAACATATACGCGCAATGTATATTTTGGAGTCAAAAGTAATCCGCCATTGCATTCATACTTAATTTCTACATATTCCTATTGGTCACCAAAACCAAGCCTCTTTTTCAACCAATCAAATAAAAAATTAAAACCAATAGCGATCTGGTCAACAGGGTTTTCCCGCGTTTTACATGCTGTCTACATTTGTTTACTTCGTCTACTAATTGGCCCCCTGCTATGGTATTTCTCGAATAGTGGGCAGCTTTTCTTTCTCTTTCTTCGCCTCTCTCCAGCTTTTTTTCAATTCCTACATCATTTTAATCGTATTGGATTGCCTAACATTTTCAGGAACTGTTGGAAGCTGGCGACTCAGCGTTGTGCACTTTGAAAAAGATTTTTACCAACAAAATTCTTGCGAGTGTCAAGTCTGATATCAAAGAGGGAAAGGAAAACTTGGACAAATGTATAGATACGATAGTCAAAAATGCTGCCGAGGTATGCTTCATTGTGCGACGGTCTTTAAGGGGTATTAACTTTAGCTTCCTTAATATAATGTATCATCAAATTTGCAATAGAAAAACAAAGGTAGCTGCTAATTTTCAATAATTGATCTTAAGTCGTTTCCTCACAGTTGACAAAGTACCCTGACACTTTTCAAGTTCTGGAAATGTGTTGACATCAAGACGGGGCAAATAAATGTGTCAAACATTTTAATGAGGATGACGAAAACCAACTGCGTTTAATCCTTTAACTCCTAAGAGTGACTAGCTTCTAATTTCTCCTTACAGTATCACCCTTAAATCAAATATATATAGGTCATGAGAATAAAGGAAATGATCACAAATTCAAGAAACGTCTGATTGTCAATCAAATTCTCCCCATCAGTACCATAAGAAATGTAACAAGAACAGTGTGAAGAATAACAATATCAATGTAAGGTTGTGAAACGTTAATCTAAAAAGAACGTGAAACATGAATGCAGTACACCTCAGTAAGAGGGCATCATGTGCTGTCTTGACTTCAATTTAAGTGTTATTGGCTTTTGCAATGAAAAAAGATGATACTAGTATCGATATAAAACCCATAATCCATTGGAGTGATTGCCTTTTGCTTCTGTCCCCATTTCGTTCCTTGCCAGGGTATGGAAAGAAAATTTAAAGATTGAAACATCAATTGAAGAGCTTAATTATCAAAGATCTTGCGAAATACGTTTTTCTGCGGGTGCCTTGACTCGCCTCATCTGGTGCACAAAAATTAATGGGTCGGCTTTGAAGTGACTAATATTACCACCCTTAACTTCAGTTTTCTAACACCACATGGAATATCTTTTTTCATAACACCTATTATCACTTTGGTCAACCCGTGAAATTGTAGGTCTACAGAGGATACGTCGATGACGTCAAAAATACAGATAACGCTTGGTTGGAAACAACGGCAATGCATTTCCATGACAACAAGAGGGGAATGCTGGGTGACATCGAATTTGAGGTATATGCAAATGATACAAGACTGATCGAACAGGCCCTTCAGTCTTTTTCGAATAGGTTTCATTCTACCGCTTGGCCTTAAAGTAAGGAAGAAACGACTTATCGAGAGTTACAATTTATTATTTAAAAGAGAGAGTCAAAGATTCACGATAACAACTCTAATTTTGTTTTTGTAATATTTGCACTCATCTTTTAGGTTGAATCCAGTATATGCTGGCAAGAGGTCAGCAGTCACACTAATATTCACGACAGTCATGTGCATGTTTTGAGCAGAGTGGCCGCGTTGGGAATGGCAAATTTTTAAACATTGGAACTGGTTGTCTGGTTGAGGATTGCAAAAGATGATATATTTTATCAGGAAAGTGTAGCCGTAGATTGTAGGGAACCATCCATGGCCATCGAACCATAGCTAGCTTTGGCCATTTTTTCGGTGCTGAGAGAAAATGGAGACCATTTGATGATTGTAGACGAAGATAAATACCAAACAGAAGAGTTCGAGTGACCTGTATAGAAAACTAAGTTATACTACTCCACGATAGGATCTTAATTTTTCTGTTACTATTCTTTATATCATCGCCAGTGACTATGACAAAGTAGAAGAATTTATTAGTCTCATTGAAAAAATAAAAAGAGTTTAGCTTGAGATTCTAACCTCAAAGCATACTCGGCCTACATCTCCTTGAATCTTAATTTTTTTTTTTTAGTTGACGCCTAATCTTATGCCCTGATTCTGAGCACATTAGTGTAGCCAGCAGTCACTGGGAGCCTGGGTAAAGAGCACTTTGTTGTCGACGAAATCTGCTTAGAATTTCATGTCCAAAAATTTAATTTTTTTAATAGGCTGTGGGTACACATGCCTGAATAGAGTTTTCATTATTTCAACAAGACGTTTTTGAATGTATCATAGGAGAAACAGAATAATTTTCTAAATTAATCAGATTTTTTTTGGAAGCCCTTGTTTGTCCAAGCACTTGAAGGAAGTCAACAGGAGAAATATTGCCAACATGTTATACTTTTTTTCATATCTTCCTTCCCTCTAGCCGGTTACGATCTCTCCTACCAAGTGAAAATGAGGAGACAGACTTAGGGCAATCAGGGCATTAGCGGGGTTGTTTCGATTCCTCTAAAGTTATCTTGAGGAGGGAACAAAATTCTCTTCAGCTATAATTTTGCATCATAAATTTTTGCTCAAAAATGCTAGTTCCCTTCTTTGTCAACGGCGTTTTCTTTCACACTTCTGTACTGTCCGTCATTATGCGAATTCTAATCAAATACCCATTCTAATTTCGCTGTCATGAGAACGCCTCGGGAAAAAGACTTCCGTTTGAAAGACAATCTATCCAAAGCCTGGATCAGGATCCCCTCCTTTGTCTACCCACATTTTCTCTTGCATCCACCCGTATAATTTTGTCGTCATCGCCTAATTCCGTGGGCAGCTCAGCTCAATTGTAATTAGCGGCTAACTCTCGTAGCAGGCCAGCGACAGCCCAGGGGAAGTCTATAAGTTATCTTCCATCGCACTTATGATCGGTACAGAAGTAATATAGGATTGCAAAGGATTTGCTGCACTGCTGTAACCTTACTCGGTGATTCCTTAAGGAGGGGGACATTGGGATTTTCGGTTTCGCAGTTTTGGCTATTTTTTAGGTCGGTCTTTTTTTTGTTTTGGTGTTAATTGCGGATTTTCCGTTTTTCAAGATTTGGTTTTCGGTTCTCGTAAAAAACATCAGTGGGTTTTGGGATTTGGTATCCGATGTAGTTTTCGTTTTTTCTTATGTGGGTTCCGGTTTCTCCTCCATGGGCAATTATGCGTCTCCACTGATCTCGAACTGTATCGGATTGATTAGGGTTTTGATAACTGGGATGTGAAAAATTATCGGTTTTGACGGTTTTGCAAACGGTTTTTGGTTTTGCTCGAAGTTTTTTTGCTGTTTTGGATGATTTTTTCTACGGTTTTGTGGTTTAATTCAAATAGACCCCAATGCCCTCCTCGTTAAGGAGGGCATTGGGGTCAACAAACTAAAACCTGTAAACAAATCGCGACTTGGCTAATTGTTTCTACTCTACTCATTGACTCCTTCAGATATCCTCTTGAGCTGTGAAGTTTTCACGTCTTTCGTTGCCTAGTGCCCTGCAGAAATTCATGATCGTGTTCTTGTACCCAGGCTCCTAGGATATATACCGTATATCAAGCCCCCAACCCACCCCTGCTTTCCTGTCACGTTCGTGTGTCAATCCAGCTGGATCGTTAGATTTGCATTCTTGACAAGGTACTCATTGAGCTTATTTCTCCAAAACCAACCATGAAAGGACGAGTCATTATTTTCTCCATCACCGGCTGTCCGTTCTGTATGAGAGCAAAGGACAAAATGCAGAAACTTGGCATCGAATACATGGACATCAATTTGGATACCTACCCAGAGCGACGAGCAGAGGCGAAGGAAAGAACCGGAAAGAACACTGTGCCGCAAATATTTTTCAACAACATACATGTCGGTGGATTCGACGACTTTGATAAATTGGTAAGAACAAACATATTTTCCTTCATTGTTTTTGTAAGACTTCAAGATCGCCTTATCCAACATGTGTAGGCTTCCAAGCATGTCAACCCGGAAAAAAGAAAAGTTAAAGCTTTACTTCTCAGTTAATTATTATTTTAGCAACTGTTCCCTCATGTTACCTTTGGGTAGCCTTCAATTTTAATTTAACAATCACATTAAAAATTCAAGTCTTTTCAGACTAATATTACTGACTGTCAACCATTGTTAAACAAAATTTACGTGCGAGTAACTAGTCAAAATAAACATGAGATAGAACACACTACAACAGTCTCTATTATTGCATATTGCTTGTCTGTAGTGCGGCACATTGTTGTTGGTAAAATATTCATTTTACTTTTACGCATATCTTAAGAAAATAGCCCAATATCTTCCCTTTTATGATGTCTTCCGTTACATCAACGCAAATATGTTGACTACAGCTCTACGTGTTGTTTGTCATGTCATGGTGACACTGCATAGATATTATCATCTCTGTAAATAACAAAATGTATATATGGACAATAATTGACGCATGGAAACATCACAATCAAAACAAAGAGTGACTCTAAAAACATAACTGAACATGGACAGCTACGAATTTCATTGTTTTCACTGTTTGTTTAGTTTTAACATTAGGATCTGAGTTAAACTGCTCTTTCTAACACTCCAAAAATTCAGATGATTTGATTAACCCTATACATCCTTACATCAGTATGCATATTCTCCATACTGTTCTACATACATTTCCAAAGTTGTTGACTAGAAGAATTTATTTAACAATCCAGAGCTTCTTTAGTTGGTGATGATTTTCTTCTATCTTGTGACCTTAATGTGTGATTCAGGGGTCAGATACTGTAAGGAGAAAGTAGGGAATTAAAGACTAAACAATTGTATTCCCACTGCTGCAATCATAAAGTTCTATGCAGTTATGAAAACTTCCATTGTTTACAGTTAATACAATCAACATTTTAGAGCTGAACTAGGATCAAAAGAATGGAACTAATGGTGTAGTAAATTTTAGTAATGACGATAAAAATGATACTGTCTAATCAACTTCATCACCTGACTGCACATCATCTGAAACCTTTCATCCCTTGATCCTTTAACAGTTCCTAGTTTTATCATAAGTCTTGGCCAGGGTATCCATACATGAACAATGGGCTATGAATTTCAATCTGCATACTTTATTCATCTTTTATGGGCAAGTGATGTTTTGTTAGATGAAGATTCTATTTGTAACTTTTAATTTTTTTTTTCTTGATTTTGATTCATTACTGATTATGACTTTCTCAGACTGAGGCTGAGCTTCAAGAGTTGATTAATGAAGTAGGAGAGAATCCTGCTCCAGCAGATGCTCCTCAACCACCAGCCCCCAAGTCAGATGCAGCCAGTAGTGGTAAATCTCACCTTTATGTTTGTTAGATGAAAAAGATTCTTGAAGGGAAAGGGGGGTTAATGAGTACTTCCTTTAACCCTTTAATAAGACAAGAGTGACCAAGGTAGATTTCTCCTTACAATACCAATACAATATCAAGCAGAAAAGTGATGAGAATGAAGAAACATATCAGTTAAGGGAGTTGATCCAATTCCAAATTTTGCAAACCAACATCATGATTATCAATCATATGATAGACAGTATGGAGAATTACAACTGAGATCTTGGGAATTGAAAGGGTTCATCAAGATGCTAAAAAATATGGACCATTTTTTCTAGATGGGAGTTAACCTTTTAACTCCCAAGATCTCATTAGCAATTCTCCTTACTGTCTGCCACACAGTTCTTGTGATGTTAGTTTGAAGAATTTGGTATAGGATCAACTAATAATCCCCTGATTAATATTAGTCTTTATTCTCATTACTCATCTGCTTGGTATTGCATCGATATTGTAAGGAGAAATTGTGTCTTGGTCACTCATGAGAGTTAAAGGGTCAAAGGGATATCAGCTTTTTGATCAATTGGTAAGCAATAGAACTGATGTCAACAATTGATAATGACAGTTTGGAATGCTAAGTTATGTACTGAATATCAAGCCTTTGCAAAAGTGTACCATGAGAGATACAAAACAGTTTCATTTGATCATTGTTGTTCAAGTGTTGAACACTCCCCCTGTTGAGAGCTAAATAGAGAGAAAATTAAATGAAATAATTCCAATACTCAACAAAAGAAAGGAAATCTTCCCTAAATATTTTTTTCAGTGGTTGTATTCGCAAGGTGAAATTCAACTAATCATCCTCATTAGAAACCGAAAAAGGTAACCTTGGTTGCAGTCATGGTATGGTGGGAATAATGATGTTTCAGTGAAAGGAAGCTTGTAGGGAAGGAGATGGTCTTAAGGCAACTATTCACTTTAAATAAAATTGTTAATGTTGGACTAGATAACTAGCAATCCCTTTTTTTTCCAAGTGCTGATTTTTAGGACTCACATGACAAACTGTGCTGAAAAGGAAGGATTTCTCTTAGTCTAAGGTTGAACTGTCCAGTAGAGCTTCTCTTTTCAACATTTTACCAAAGGAGTACACCCTCAACCATTTTGTCTTCAATATACTCTTATTGGATAACATCTCTTATTGGATAACATTATGTGATATGAAATCAATATATTAACTTTAATCTGTGTGTTTGCTATTTGCAGCAACCACAAGGGAGGCAATTGATTTCACTTGTGAGCTGGATGAATATGCTCAGCTTGTCCAAGAATTTAAAGAAAGTGGTCTTATAAAGGATCGCCGCAAGGGTCTCATTCACAATTACAAAAACTCCTTTGTTGGCAAGGAAGCTGTGGACTGGCTTGTGAAGACAAAGAAAATAGGCAAGTAGTATTATAATCATTGCGTGTTACTTGACAGAAAACTCAATGCAGTAGGAGTCACAGTCACAGTGGGGATCATGCTGGAGTAAGGGGTTATTGGGCTAAAGCTCTGGCAAAGGTCATTCTGTTGTGTTCTTGGACAGGACACTTAACTCTTATATCCCTAAGAGTGACTAACATCTAATTTTTTTACGCACCATATCACCCCTGAATCACAAAATTAGGTCAGGAGAGTAGAGGAAATGATCACCAACTTAAGAAGCTCTTGATTGTTAGACAAGTTCTACATGTCCATAGGAAATGTATAGAGAACAGTATAGATAACAGTATAGAT